AGGCGGCGGAGAGGCTGCAGGTGGTGGGCAGAGCGGGCACCGGCGTGGACAACGTGGACGTGGAGGCAGCCACCAGGAAGGGTGTCCTGGTCATGAAGTAAGAGTGAGAGCGTGGGGACATCCCTGCCCGTGCTCCTGGGGAGACAGGGGAGGCTCCAGCTGGGCACTCTCCCCACCCACGGTACCACCCTGCGGGCCTCCATCCTCCCGGGGTGCAGAGCCCCCTCAGGCCGGGGGCGACCCACCAGTGACACCACTCTCCATCCCCAGCACGCCCACTGGCAACAGCCTCAGCGCCGCCGAGCTCACCTGCGGGATGATCCTGTGCCTGGCCAGGTGAGCATGGGGCAGGATGGGGGGACGGGACGTGAACCCCACGGCCCCCCACCCCCACCCTGACCACCGCCTCCCCTTGCAGGCAGATTCCGCAGGCAGCTGCCTCCATGAAGGAGGGCAAGTGGGACCGTAAGAAGGTAGGAGGAGGTGGGTGCAGCACCCCCAGCAGGACGGGGTGGCGGGTGCCTGCGTAGGGGGCGCTCGCTCACTCTCCGCCTTACACCCTAGTACATGGGCATGGAACTCAACGGGAAGACGCTGGGTGTGCTGGGGCTGGGCCGCATTGGCAGGGAGGTCGCTACCCGCATGCAGGCTTTTGGCATGAAGGTAAGAAGCCAGGGCCGGGAGGAGGGATGGGGAGCATGAAACCCCCTGGCCTGGCCACGAGCGCCGTGCCAAGCTGCAGGAACGAGTGCCCACTCTCCCTCAGACCATAGGCTACGACCCCATCATCACCCCCGAAACCTCGGCCACCTTTGGCGTGGAGCAGCTGCCACTGGAGGAGATCTGGCCCCGCTGTGACTTCATCACAGTGCACACACCGCTGCTGGCCTCCACCAAGGGTACGGGGCGGGCACTGGCATGGAGGGTGTTTGGGGGACCGGGGCCAGCCCCCCACTGCTCACAGCACTCCCTCTGCAGGGCTCCTGAACGACAGCACCTTTGCCAAGTGCCGCCGCGGTGTGCAGGTGGTGAACTGCGCTCGCGGTGGCATCGTGGATGAGGGCGCACTGCTGCGGGCGCTGCGGTCAGGGCAGTGTGGTGGGGCCGCCCTCGACGTCTTCACACAGGTGAGCGGGGCCACAGGGAACTCCCATGCCTGGCTTTGGCTCAGCGTCACCTTAACTCTGCCCAAGCCAGGCCAGGGCAACCTGTCAAACCCTGCGGACTGGGACTGGGCAGAGCCCTGCCCCAGCTCCCCTCCTTGCGAGGAAGGAGGGGGTAAATGCCCCCCCCCGACTCTCGGGTGGGTGCCAGGGGCTGATGTCAGGATGGGGCTGTGTTGGCAGGAGCCGCCGAAGGACCGCGACCTGGTGAACCACCCCAATGTCATCTGCTGCCCACACCTGGGTGCCAGCACGCAGGAGGCACAGAGCCGCTGTGGCAAGGAGATCGCCATGCAGATTGTGGACATGGCTACAGGGAAGGGGCTGGCTGGCACAGTGAGTCCTCCTGCCAGGCACCTGACCTCTGAGCCTCAGTTTCCCCATCTGTAGAGCACGGATGTGGTGGGAGCAACCCTGTGTGCTCGCTGGTGGGTTCCCATCACATGTCCTGCTCTTCCTCACAGGTCAACGGGCAGGCTCTCAGCAAGGCTTTTGCACCGCAGACTAAGCCCTGGATTGCCCTGGCCAGGGCCCTGGGCTTGGTGCTACGCACAGCGGGCAAGCAAGTGCAGGGCAGCATGCAGGTCTGCACCCAAGGTGAGGCAGGCAGGCTGTGCCCCAAGTCTGGGACCCTGATGGGTGGGCAGCACAGTGGGGTGTGGGGGGATCTACTGGGCTGGTTGGATGGGAGGAGGGATGGGAGGGTGACCAGGAGAAGGGATGGACAGGAGGGTGGTTGATGGTGGGATGGGAGGAGGAGGGGACGTGGAGGTATGGATGGGTGGGAAGATGGGAGTAGGGATGGGTGTGTGGATGGGTGGGTGGCTGCTCAAGCGCAGGGCTGACTCCTCTGCTGCTGGCCCATCCACCTTCTGCCTCCTGCCCATGCCCCAGGGACACCTCTGCAGGAGGCTGGGAGCTACCTGACACCCGCCGTGGCTGCAGGCATGCTGGCTGGAGGGCCACAGAAGGACGTGACCCTGGTGAACGCCCTGCTGCTGGCCCAGGAGGCTGGGCTGAAGGTGCATGGACACCCAGGGCTCCACACCTCAGGCTGGCACACCCAGGCCCCATCCTTCCTGGGGTTGCCCTGTGGCACTAATGCAGCGCTCAGGCTGGCAGCCATTCCCTGGGGTGACCTCTGAGGACACCCCTTCCCCACACTCTGACATGTGCAGGACCTGGGCACTGAGTGGCTTCATCTCTCTGGCAGGTCACAACCACCCATGGCGATGTGGCCCCCGAGCCCGATGGCAGCACCAGCCTGCTGCAGGTGTCCCTGCAGGGCACCCCACACCGGGTGACCGGGACAGTGCAGGGCAGCACCCCAGTGCTGCGGGAGATCAATGGGGCCACCTTCAAGCAGCCGGCTCCGCTGAGCGGCCCCATCCTCATCTACAAAGCCAAAGCCTCCGAGCCCAGCATGCTGCCCGTGCTCATGGGTGAGCTCCCTGAGGGGCGATGTGGAGAAAAGGAATTGTATTGGAGGGGGAAGAAACACCATTGTGGATGTTTGAGGGGCACTGGGGTGGGCAGAGCCCTGCTACCCGGTGGGTTCTGGGGTGGTGGGTCAGCCTGAGGCCCCTAACACCTCTCCTCCTTTCCAGGACTGCTGGGGAAGGCAGGGGTCCAGCTCCAGTCCTACCACAGCTCCAGCACTGTGGCAGGGGAGCAGTGGAGCGTCATGGGTCTCTCAGCCCCCCTGTCTGACCTCAGCGAGCTGAAACCACGAGTCATGGAGGTCTTCCAGCTCCACCTCTAAACCCTGACCACCAGCAAGGACTCTCCCCATGGCCACAGCATCTAGACCCCCCCTCATCGGGGGGAACATTGCACTCGGCTGCCCCCAGCACCCATTCTGGGCTTGGGGTGGCCCCGTGCTCAAATAAAGGGTCTGGGAGGAGAGAGCATGTGATGCCTTGTCTCTGTGGTCCCTTGTCCTCAGCCCCAAAGCTCCTGCAGGCTCTGTCCCTCCTGCCCCCAGCCCCTCCTGCCCTGCTGGCCCCGCTTCTGTTTGCTGAAGGGTGCAAAGGTCTCTGTGGCTGCTGTGGCACCGCCAAGGTCCTGTCCGGCCAGGGTCCCGTGCTGGGACATGGCCCAGAGAGCAGGCAGCACTCCAAGCAGGGCTGAGCCCTCCCGTGAGCCCCCGCATCACCTGCTCCCTCCTGCCTGCTGGGAATTGCCTCCTGGGCAATTTTCACTTTTGGGAATGTTTCACTTTGCTGGCATCACTGGGAAAATGGCATCTCACCACCCCCAGACTGAAAACCGAGACTAGAGAGCTGGGGTTTGTTTGGCTCCCCCAAAACATTGGGGCATGCTCCCATCCTGGGGAAATAGGGTACCAAGGCTCATGTTCAATAGTGGCCATATCTGGAAAAATCCCATCGGGCTGATCCAGACCCAGCGTGGTTGAGGGAAGAGTCCCCAGAGTGGGAGAGAACTACTTGCAACCAGGAGCCAGAGCCAGGCTGCTGCCCCCTCTCATCTCTGCCTTTATTCCCCTGTGCTCCCCATGTTGGAACAGAAAATGCCACTGTCTCCACCAGCTCCAGGGCCCGAGCCATCCAAGGTGTGGTTTCCTGCAGAGGCCAGTCCTGGATTTGGGGGTGAGCAGGGATGCTGGCAGGGAGGAGAGCATCCCCCTACCCGGGGCTCACCCCTCCTGTCCCCCCTAGAAGGGCTTCCTGGCATATTCCCGGCGGTACTTGGCATCCACCCGTGTCAGGTACCAGGTGCCAGGGAAGAGATCCGCCTGGGAGCCGTGGGGAGCGTGGTTGGCTGCGGGGAGAGGGCAGTGATGCTCAGCAGGGCCGTGGGGTGCCAGCAGGTGGGTGTTGCATCCCCCCAGCCCCACTCACCCAAGTGATGGGTCTCCTCCCGCTGCTTCATGATCTTGGCAAAGTCCTGCGGGGCCACACGCTTGCGGGCATCCAGGCGAGCCGGCAGGTCGGCCAGGCTGGAGACCAGCTTGTCCAGGGGCGAGCCTGGTGGTGGGCACCCCCCGGGTGAGACGGCACCACTGGCGGCCCTGGCCTCACAGCCCCATGCTGCCCTCCCCTCCCAGCCCCCCTCTCCCGTGGGACTCACCTGGGGCCGCATCCTGTGAGACGCGGAGGGAGAACATGCTGGCAGCCAGCCCTGAGCCGTAGGAGAAGGCGCCGATCCGGGAGCCAGCCAGGTCCCGCGCTGAGGACCTGGAGCAAGGGGTTAGGGAGATCAGAGGAGATTTGGGGCTGGGTTACAGGGCTGCCTCCTGTCCCCTTCGCAGGCAGGGGCGTCCTGAGACTCAGGGCCGCATTGCCGAGGGTGTGTAGCCCTGGCGTGCACTGGTGTTGGGGAGCCCCAGAATGAGACTTTTGTCCTCCCCAGTGCCTGGCTATTCCCACGGCTCCTTCGCGGCAGGGTCAGCCATTCTGCCAGGCATGGCAACAGGGTTTTCATCCTCCCGGTGCCAAAAGAAGGGCTTTATGCGCTGGCCCAGCTCCAGAGAGCTGGTATGAAAAGACTGTCAGGGAGACGGCACGGCGCAGGATGCATCCACACCGGGGGTTATATTCAGTGAAAGTGTTAGGTCTCTGCTGGGAGGGATGAGTGCTGGTGCCTGCCCCCTAAGACAGCCCAGCCAGATTCTGTCCTCCCCAAAATGACACACACACACATCCCCAGACAGCTTTTTGGGGGACTCACTGCGCCAGAAGGGAGGCCAGGCAGCCATACATGGACGGTGTGTACATGTTGCCATTGCGGGAGGAGAGGAGCAGGGAGGGCTTGGTCTTCTGGTTGAAGATCTCCTGGCTGGCTGCCTGGAACGCCTTCTCCACCTCCTTACTTGTGTAGGTGTCCTCCAGCTTCACACCGCTGCCCAGAGAGAGGGTGGCTCAAACCCCACACCAGCTCATCCCTGGCTGGGATGGGGGACACGGCATGGGGACCCACCGAAAAGACTGTAGCCCCTTGTAAAGGCCGGCAGCTGTGTCAGGGTTGGGGGTGGCCAAGAAGTCGTTGAGCAGCAGCCGCCCCACTGACTTCTGCACCAGCTTGCAAAAGGGTGTGTGGAAGATGATGAACTTGAAGTCATCGAGGGTGAAGGGCCGCTGGACACCAGCTGGAAGGCAATGTGAGGCTGTCAGGACCCGGTGGGGTGGCAGGGGCACCCCAAGGGTGCTGCCGCTTACCCTGCTGCCACTGGCTCTCCGCCTTCCGGCGGTACACAGCGTAACAGCGGTCCAGTGCCCGCAGGTAGCACTGGATGGAGAGTTGCCCGTCCACCACTGGGTACTCGGAGGCCAGGTCCGGCTTGTAGAAGTCGTAGGCGTGCTCCATGTGGGTTCCCCGCAGGCCTGGGTGCACAGGGAGAGCCAGGTGTTGGGGAGCATTGGGGGATCATGGCCAGATGGCAAGCACACATGGGTGCTACCAGCCATGCCAGCCCCCAGCACCCTGGGTTACTCCGTGGTGCCCACGGGGATGTGGCCAACTAGGATCCTGGGGTACCCAGCACAAGGCAGCCACCGAGGCTGGCAGAGCCGGTGCTGCTGGAGCTGAGACTCTCTGTCTGGGGCTGGGACATGGATGTATGGCCTCCAGGGAGAGTACCCATTATCTCACCATCCCCAGGGCCTCAGGACACTGACCTCTCTCCAGCACCAGCGGGGCGTTGGGTCCCACTAGCATGGCAATGGCACCAGCACCTCCTGTGGGCCGCGCATTCCCTGTGGCGTATACAGCGATGTCCCCGCACACCACCACGGCGTAGCGACCTGAGGTAGGATGGGGGGGTCGGCAGGGCCATCAGTGGGTAGGAGCCTCCATCCTGTGGCCCTCATGTACTCCCATTCCCATGCTGCCAGGTGTCACGGCCAAGGTAGGTAGGAAACAGGGGTGATGGAGAGCCTGGAGGGGCAGCAGCTCCCTTTGAGGATTGCTGGAGCATCTTTGGGTTTCAGACCACCTCCTGCCTCCTTCCCCCATCCCACGGTACCCATCCAACATCCAGTTCCCCCATCCCCACAGCACAGTCCCTGTCTTCACCCACCGTCCCAGGCGCTGGACTCCACCCAGGCAGCTGCGTTGAAGAGCGAGGCCGTGCCCCCATAGCAGGCATTGGTGGTGTCAATGCCCTCCACGTCAGTGTTGCCCGAATCATGGAAGAGCTGCATAAGGACGGTCTTGACAGCCTTGGACTTGTCAATGACAGTCTCAGTGCCCACCTCGAGGCGGCCGATGGCGTCCCAGGAGAGGCACCCACGCTCCACCAGCCGCTGCACCACCGTTAGGCACAGGGAGTTGATGTCCTCATGGGCAGCACAGAAGCCCATCTGCTGCTGGCCCAAGCCCCGTGTGTACTTGCCGGCCTCCACACCATCGTACCGCTCCAGCTCCTCCTGCTCCACGTACTGGGCAGGGAAGTACACCTCCAGTGCCAGGATGCCCACGTCCTTGGGCCAGGCGCCTGTCCCGGCAGCGCTGGAGAGGCTGCAGGGCAGAGGGAGCGGTGACGGTCCCGCCACGGCCCCAAGCCTTGGGGGTAGCTGTTGGCCCCAGGGGATGCCACCAGCAAGCAACCCAGCCCATGAGCACCCCAAATCCCTGCTGGTTCCGTGTGCCCAGCAGTGCTGTGGGGAGGAGGGAGAGCATTCCATTCCCTAGAAAAGCTTAAGAGCACTGCCAGCTTCCCAACCCACCCCCCCTCGATTATGCCTCCACTCCACCCAATACGCATGGGTGCTCACCATGCCTTCTGCACAGCCATGGGGTGCTGGGCCCCCCGGGGTACCTGCTCCAGCCCCGGCGGTGCCCGCCGAGCCCCCCAGCAGCGTGTGGCGCGGCCAACCAAGCGCAGCATCTTCGCCCCAGCCACTGCACAAAATGGAGGGACGGACAGCAGGATGGACAGTGGGACGGACAACAGGATGGGCCTTGCATGGTGCTTTTATAAACTGCGTTGGCGGCACGGCACGGCCCTCCCAGCCCTTATCAGCATGCTGGACCCCAGCGCTCAAAGGTCACTGAGCACCAGCCAACGTGACAGAGACAGCAGAGCAAGCACTAGCTTTGGAAGGGGGGAACCTGCAAGACTCCTTGTGCTCCAGAGCCTGAGGACACACTTGGCTGGAGCTGGGGCTGAGCAGCAGGACGGGCTCCCCCACAGCCCTGGCTCCCCATGCCGTGGATCAGCAGCAGCCCCAATGCCCGTGGCACGCCAGCACGGCTGTGGTCACCATGTAGTGTGTGAGGTGCTCTGTGGCCTCCCTGACTGTCCCCACACTCCTGGGGAGAGAGCAGATGGTGGCTGAGGCTTTGGTGCTGGCACCATCTGTGCCGTCCAGGACATGGTCCACCTCTGTCATGTGTCACAGCTCCAGGGGGGTAAAAAACCCATGAGCTGGGTGGGGGCAGAGCCATCTTCAAAACAGCAGAACAAACAGCCACGTGATGCCTGTGACAACACTGCGGTGACACAAGAAGGGACCTTTGGTCCCAGTGCTGCTGTCAACATGGCCATGGGGCAGCATCACAGCCCCTGGACCCCTGCGGAGCTGTCTGCACCCAGGGGGTGGTCACCTGTCCCCATGCCTGCACGCCCACGACAGCTGCCATCCCCACCTACATCTGTGCCCAGGTCTCCTTCATGCCTGCACCCTGGGGACACTGCTGTCCCTGCTACCTGCACCCCAGGACACCTGTCCCATTTGGCACCAGAGGGCTGGGGATGAGCCAACATGAGTGCCTGGGCCAGGAGAGCCACTGGCCCTGTGGCTCCCGGGGACTCACCCCCGGATGGATCTACTGGCTACTGGCAGCACCAGAGCCCCTGGAAACTGGGAAGCTCGGGAGCCACAGCAGCGCCTGCCTCCCCCTTGCCCGGACCAGCCAGGGCTTTGAACCAGCACCAAGCTTGCACAGGACTTGCATGCTTCTTTTTATATAGATGTATTTTTAAGAGTTGGGGGGAGAGGAGCATTGCCAGCAAGGGACAAGCATCGCAGGCACAGGGTCCCCCATGGGCCCAGGGGCTGCGCTCAGCGCAAGGGGGTGAACTTGCAGATGTAGTGATGCTGCTGGGCGCAGTCGGTGCTGGACCACACGGTGAAGCCTGCCAGAGAGATGGGCGGGGGATTGGTGGGGGCCACGGCGAGGACAGGGGCACCAGCTCTGCCCACCACAGCCCCGAATGGGACCCAGAGGAGGGGGAGGGGGGAGATGCCAGCCAAGACTGAGTGCTGGGGTGGATGCAGGGTCCAGGCACTCACCACTGAGGTGGGTCAGGATGCCACAGTTCCCCCCACGGGCACCGTTCCCAGCCAGCCCACTGGTGCTGCTGTACTTGTCCCCACTCGCCCACTGCCAGGCCTGGCCCTGTGGGGAGAGGGGGGTCAGAGGCATGGGTCCGCTGCTCCCTGCCCCCCCCCCCAGCCGCCCCCCAGCTCACCTCATGTGCGTAGCGGAGGCCAATCCAGACAGGCTGTATGCGCTGGTAGTAGGAAATGACTTTCCGCAGCGTGGCCGCCTCCCGGGGCTCTTCCACCCAGGCCAGGTGGGCACTGGTGTGGCTGGCCTGGCACTGCCTCTGTGGGGATAGCTGTCAGTACTGGGTCATCCCTGGGAGCTGGGGGGTCCCCGGCTTCCTGTGTGCCCCCATGGGCTTACCTCAGCCTCATCCCAGCTCCGGAGCTGACGGAAGTACCTGAAGCAGCTGAGCTTGTAGTAAGACCAGCCCTTGGGGCAGTAATCTATGTACCTGGCACCTGTGGAGGGAGAGCGGCGGGGAGGGATGGGGGACAGCCGGCATTGCCAGCTGGAGAGAATCCTGGCTCCCTCCTGGCCCTGCTGCGAAAGCGGCTGCCCCCCGAGTTGTGGGACTCACCAGTCGGCTGCAGGAGCCCCACACAGCCCAGCAGCAGAAGGGCGAGTCTGGCTGCCGCCACCATCCTCCTTGCTCCCAGAAGCGTCTCCTGTAAAAGTTTGGGGGGGTCACACCAGCTCCCTCCAGGAGAGGGGATTCCACCTGTGCCCAGAGTGTGCAAACCCACCCTGCTATGGACTGAATCTGCCCCCTTTCAGCTGGCTGGAGGGGATGGCAGCCCCGGGGGCTGTGCCTCCCTCTCCCCTCCCCAGCACAAGTCACTTCAGTGTGCCTGCACCCCATCCCCCAGGCATACCTTGGGGTCCCCAGCCCACACTGGCAGCGGGGTGTCCTGGCCCCACCAGTCCCATCCTCAGTGGGAAGCATCTGGGTGAGCCAAGCTGCTGTGGGGACATGGGGAGAGCGCTGCCGCAGGCACGGGTCGGGGAGACCCCAGCCCTGCCCTAGCATCAGGCAGCAGCAGCAATGGCACAGGCAGGGCTGGGGACAGTAGGGCTGCAGGGATGATGTGCACAGTATCATTTTCATCCCCCAAGCTCATAGCACTGCCAGACCCAGGCTGGGGAGGAAAATTGGCTACATCAGCACAATTCCCCTTTATCTGGACTAATCCCTGGGCACCAGCACACCGATTTGCAGACTCAGCTCGTCTTCCCCTCAAAGAAGCAGTGACAAAAGTCAGTGCGGGGCTGAAAATTGCATTGTTGCAGCCTGCCCCATCCAGCAAGGGCAGCGCTCAGCTTCCCTGGGAGCTGCCAGGGCCGGGGCCAGCTCCTGCTTGCCCACAAGTCACCTCGAAGCACACCGAGGCCCCAGCTGCCTCGCGAGGGTCCCCTTCCTCACCTGCTCTCTGGAGATCGGGAGGAATAACGGCTTCTTGTGGGTCGCTGGGAGAGGAGAGGAGCTGCCCTTTATAGTCCGGTGCTCACCAGCATCAGTGTTTGCCCAGCTCAGGTGATTCCCACCATTAAAATCTTACTGCTGACTCCCCTCCATCCCCCCCCACTTTGCTGGAAAGCTGCCCAGATCTCCGCTCTGTTTGCATTCAACGTTTCTCTAGAAAAGACAGGAAGAACCTCTCCTAGTTGGTCAATAAACCCCCTGCAATTAGCGTTAATTAATAACACAAACACAGAGATAACCTCGCGGCAGAGTGCAGCCTGGCACCAGGCAGGGATGCCCGCTGGCCCAACCCCGGCTGGCCGGGGGGCTGGCAGGGGTGAGCCCCGGGGGAGGCCACCCCAATCCCGGCCGGAGCATCCCTGAGGCGAGCGACGGGGCTGTGGGTACCACCTCCCGGCCTTGCCCGAGTCCCCGGCCGAGGGGTGGCAGCGGGCGGGGCCCCGCGCCCTGCCCATCTCCGCCATGCGTCACCCACACACCGCCCTTGTTTGAACTGCCTGGGGACATTTGTCAGCAGGATGCAGGACGCGGGGACATGGGAACAGCCTGCGGCCGAGGGGCTGGCGGGCACCATCAGATAGCGGCGGCGGTGCCCGGCCCCCACGCCCGGAGGTGACGCAGGGCTTTGTCAGCCAGGGACCATGCGGGCTACTAACACACTGAAGCAGCTTTGTGAGCTCTTCCCGCTGGCTGTGCCCTGGCCTCCTGCAAAGCTGCCAGCCCCTGCCCTGCCGCTGCCAGCTACAGGCCGTGCCCGGCGATCCCTCCCCCGGCCCTCCCCAAGGCACTCAGAGGAGGCAGCTGCCTGCGGAGGGCCCAGCGCTGAGCTGAGCCTTACTTCCCCCAACATGGAGGGTTCACAGCTGGCTTACTTCTCCAGAGGTTACTTCTGCCTGCCAGGCTCAAGCCATGTCCCCCAGGGATCTCCCACGGCCCCTTTGTGGCATTTACCAAAACACGCAGCCCGTGAGTGCTGCTATGCCCACGCCAGCGCGCAGAGGCAGGTCTGGCTTTTGCCCCGGGCAGGGAGGAGGATCAGACCCTTTGCCCACACAGCCAGGATACGGCTGCTGCTGCTTCCCCACACCTCTCAAGACTCGGCGCCCTTCAGGATCTAAGGGGTAAAGCCTCCTCATGTCCAAACACAGCTGCTGCTTGCTATCTTTTCTCCTGAAACCACCTTACAGATATCAGCCACTCCACTAGCAGGGAAACCCTTCAAGCACAGCAACTCCCCAGAAGACAGGATTTCACCCTTGTTTTATAAAAACCCAGGAAAATGTTCCCCAAAGGAGCCTGAGACTAACCCATTACTCCTTTGTTAGATAAAGGATGCCCCAGCTCCCTGTCTGGCTGGTTCAGTTAGGCTTATTTGGATGCAACACAACAAGTTTTCACAAGCCCCTCGTCATCCCGGGCAGGGGGAGAGGCATGAACTGTCCCTGAGGAGATGCAGTTTCAAGTCCCAGCCTGAGCGCTGGCAAACTTGATGCAGCTGTGCCAGAGACACAGCAGAGCTTGCTAAACTTTGGCACAGATGTGCAACCTGTGGGAGAACGTGAATGAAAGCCTCCCGGAGGTGTGTACTTGCCAAGCTGGCTCTACTAGAAGATAAAGGAGCCGTGCTGTTTGAATATTAAGCCCTTAAAATGCCCCCAGCAGCTTTATCCCTGATAGGCATCATAATTCAGCTACAGGCTCCAACTGAGTCCACAGAGAGAGCTGGAAACCTGCCAGGTGAGCACTAATGGAGCCCAAGGCTTCAGTGACACCTCCCTGCTCAAAATACAGGAAGGCAGGCATTGTCAATTTGTTCTCTAATTGTTCAAGACAAAACTTTTCAAGTCTGAAAACAGCACGGAGGAGCCACGACTCCCTGTTTCAGAGGCTGGAGAGTTGCACATCTTCATGCATCAGCTGTCAAGCCAAAGCCAGGGAGGCAGCCTCAGCTCTGGGGACGAGGGTCCTCCTCCCAGTTGGAAGAATAGGGAACAGCCCAGGGAATCAAGCAGGACCTGAAACGGTGAGTGTGTCCGCAGCTCCAGGAGCCACTGCCTGACCCATGCTTATTCACAACTTTTAGAAAAGCCACACAAAAGCCCCAGCCTTTCTCCAGCTCCCAGACTCCCAGGCAAGAGAGCTCTTACTCAAAGCATCTCAAAAAGGCCCCATCCCACTCCCTCCCCATCCTTCCCAGCATGCCCAGCTGCTTGGCTGCTGGTTACTGTCCCCTTCTCAGCTAACCGAGACCCAGAATAACTCCTGCTACATCCCAGCTAGGCTGCTTCCAGTCCCCAGGCACAGCTCCCTTGGATGGAGCTAAGCGGTGGGGTTCCTGTGCTGCTGAGCCACAGGACATAGCACCCTTAATCCCCAAAAACTCTCCTGGCATGGACTGTGGAGGTCCTAACGAGCTCACCCTTGCCAGGGGTCTGAACAGCTACTGAACACTCACAATTAATTTATAATCCTGTGGCTGTGCCACGATAGCCAGGAAGACAAACGAAAACAGCAGCACACAGACGCCGGGCACATACTCTTTATTCTGGGGATAAAAATTGCTTATACATTTTGCAGCAACTATTTTCATAAAAGACTTTTATAAAAAATGTAAAAATAAGCAAATATTTTCCATTATTAATATAGGAAAATGCTGCTGTGTGAATGGTTACTCTACAACTTAAGAGATAAAATATCACCTTAAGGAGATATTATCTTTACAATAGTTAAAAAAAAAAAAAGGCAGAGGGCCATCGTATTAACACGCCAGGCACAAAACTGGCTTCATTCCACAGAAATCACTCATCTTGTAAAAGGTAGCCACATATATAAAAAGGCACTTGATTATTTGGGGCTAATGAGGAAAAGCCCTTTTTTTCTTTAGCATCGATGTAGCAATACTTCATTATTTGCAGTGAAACATGTACCTGGACAGACCTCCAGGAGCCTGCAGGCCCCTGCCCTGGAGATCTGAGTCGGTTGCAGCTAAACTTCACAGGACACACTGCAGCGAGCGTGCCGGGGAACGTTGTGTGCGTCATAAAAAGCAGTAACTTCAGAATGAAAAACTTCAGCCCAAAACGACGGCCCCGGGAACCAGCACCTCCTGAGGCCCTGCCTTCATGTACCATTGAGTTGAATCAAAAGAAAAAGCTTTTACTCTTGATTAGAATGGGAAGAAACATCAGAGAGAATACTGTACATGGTAGGATGCTGAATGGCCGCTGCTTGGAGGGGAGTGGCCTTCTCTGTCCTTTGGCGGCAGCCGACAGCCCCAATCTCTTTGGAACGTGTGTCTGCAGGATTCCCCCAAGAGGTAGGAGCAAACCATCCCCAGAAATGTTCACTTCAGCTGCTGACTGGTTCAGAGCCCTTCAGGGAATCACTACTCTTTCAGACAAAGCAGAAAGAGCATCTGTTTGTCTAAGCTCAGCGACAGCTGGCTTCTGTAACTCCAAAAATATCGGGGGAGCTGCAGTACAAATGGCACTACCGTCCCACAGAGCACGTGGGGCACCTCAGTTGGGAAATCTTAATACAGGCTGAAGCCAAGAGCAGAGGACAGCCCCAAACCTGTTAAGCAAACTGCATTAGACAGTGGTTTCTGAGCTATTTGGTCTGCCACTTGCGCCCAGCTCCTGGCTTCAGGCATGCCACTGCTGCTGGAAGCCTGCTGGGGAGTCAGTGCTGCAGCCTCCTTGGTGGGAGGGGAAGTTGAGGCAGCCCTGAGCCCAGGGCTGGAGCAAAAGGGACACTTTTCAAAGGGCTGGATGCCATTTCCTGACGCAGAAGGACACACACTGCCAACATGTAACGACGTCCTCGACACTTCTTGATAACACCATAAAGAGGCAGCATATGGTATCTGGAAGACAGGACACACAGCCACCCTCGGATGGAGGGGAGGGGAGTACTGTGCAAGAACGCTGGCAGCTTGTGTTACCAGGTTTTGAAACACTCATGCTCATCCTAAGAGCTTCCCAAAAGGCCTTCAGAGGTTGCAGGGCATCTCTTCTGTCACGGGAGCCCATGAAGGTGGTAAGGTGGTCACGGACACACCTGGCAGGACGGGGGCACAGGGAGGGTAGTGTGTCAAAATGGTCAGGTGTGTCTCAAAGACATACAACACAGGAGAGATGTGCCTACAGGTCACCACGGGGGGAAGACCAGGTCAGACTAGCATTTTCAGAATGTGGTGGGGGGGAACGCAACAAAAAAACCTAGGAGAAGACTATATGTATATATAATCTCATAATACCTGGGGGTCAGGCAGTGAGAATGCTAAGGGGTGTTAGTGGGTCTGCTGAAGACAAAGACTCTTGAGGAAAGGGTGAAGCTGCGCGACAGAAGGTGTCACTTGACCTGCATGTGTTTTGAAAAGTCTGGCTTGCTTGCTGAGCAACAGTGGCTGAGGGAAGGAGGGGTCTAGGAATGTGGGTGCAGCTCTAAGCTGTGTCAAGACAAGGCAACTTGAACTAGAAGAGAACTAGTAGAAGGTGCTTCAGAGAGAGGTTACATGGGTAACAGGAGTAACAAAATAAGGATACAAAGCTGGGTTTGGCTAAATTTCTGGAGAAAGGACCACAAGATGCATTAAGCTGAAGAGCTGTCTCCCCAAAGAAATGGTGTAACATATTTAAAAGCAGACTGGAGAATCCAGTGCAGACAGCAATCACACCCAAGGTGCATGGGAGTTGGTTAGAAGTGACCCAACTGGTCTTCTCCATCACCAGCTTCTACAGTTCTCTGTTTAGCATAAAAGCATACAAGACTACAGCGACCACAGTCCCTCCAAGGAAAGAACAGCCTGGGCTCATTAAGACTCTTGGATACTAAAATGGTTCTTCATTTCTGTCCTGGAAGACCTTCATGAGTTCTGGAGTCCGCTTTAATCGGGCTTCACCTTGGCCAGCCTTCAGGCATACACCTGCATGTTGTTCCGCTGCTGCTCTGTCATGTGAGCGGCCGCCGGCCCGCGCTGGTTGTTACTGGGACTGGTTGCCACATCAGACCAG